CCAGCCAAGATAAGCGCCATCGTCAATTGGCCACCGCCTACCAACCTCCGGCAAGTTCGTCAGTTCCTGGGTATGGCATCGTGGTATCGACGTTTCATCGCGGACTTCTCCGCTGTGACCGCACCCCTCACCCGCCTGACTCGCAAAAACGCCCGCTGGACCTGGACCGCCGTCGAGGACAAGGCCTTCCATCGCCTCAAGGGCGCTCTGACATCCGCTCCGGTACTCGCGTGTCCCAATTTCGAGTTGCCGTTCACCCTGCAGACCGACGCCAGCACGCACGGATTAGGCGTTGTCCTGACGCAACGACTGGCCGAAGGAGAACGGGTCATTGCGTACGCCAGCCGCACGCTGAACCCCGCCGAGCGGAACTACAGCGCCACCGAGTTGGAATGCCTCGCTGTAGTCTGGGGGATTCGCCGGATGCGGGACTACTTGGAGGGATATAGGTTCACCGTGCTCACCGATCATCAGTCCCTCCGGTGGCTCCAACGCCTGGAAGCCCCGTCAGGTCGATTGGCCCGTTGGCTGTTCGAATTACAACAGCACGATTTTGAAATCGAATATCGTCGAGGCACCCAAAATCTAGTAGCCGATACGCTTTCCCGTCAACCCGAGGTCGCCACGGCACAACAGACACCGTCCTGCCCGTGGTATCACCGAATCAGCCGAGAAGTCCAAACCCGACCCGCCGACCGGCCCGACTACCAGATGCGGGATGGACTCCTGTACTGGCACATCCTCCACGACCTGGACTTCCGGGAGATGCCCGCCGACGAGCAGTAGAAGCGATGTGTGCCAACACCCGAGCGTGCCGCCCTGCTCAGACGATGGCACGACGATCCCGCATCCGGACACTTGGGGACCGCCAAAACTATGGCTCGCGTCGCCCAGCAATACTACTGGCCGGGAATGCTCCGGGAGATCGCACGGTACGTCCGCACCTGCGCAACCTGTATAGCCCACAAGGTGTCACAACAGCGACCCGCCGGGACCCTGCACACGACCCCGGTCACGGCGCCGGCAGCAGATCGCCATCGACCTGGTCGGACCACTACCCCGCTCCAACCGTGGACACACATGGATTCTCACAATGCAGGACCGATTCACAAAGTAGCTCGAAGTCACACCATTGCGGAAGGCCACTGCAGCAAATGTCGCCAGGGCCTTCACCGATCAGGTCGTGTACCGACATGGGTTCCCACAGCGGATAATCACGGACAATGGGACGCAATTGAAGTCCAAACAGCTAGGAAAGCTGCTGACCGCCTTCGGCATCCAACATCGCACCGCGCCGCCATACACGCCGCAGTGTAATCCGGTCGAGCGGGCCAACCGGACACTGAAGACCATGATCGCTCAATACGTGGGCCGGAGCCAGAAGACGTGGGATGAGCACATCACCGCCCTCCAATATGCCTTCAATACGGCCTGGAGCGAGGCCACGGGACACACTCCTGCCTACCTCAACCATGGCAGGGAGCTCGCTCGACCTCATCCGGAGGACCGACGACACCTGGCAAACCCACCGACCCCCGAGACAACGCACCGACGGTTGCAAGAGGCCTACGACATCGTGAGGGTGAACTTGGCACGGGCCTTCCAACGTCAAGAACGACATTACAACCTGCGTCGTCGGGAATGGAAGCCAAAAGTCGGGGATTTGGTATGGAAGAGAAACCACGTCCTGTCCGACAAGGCTAAGGCGTTCAACGCCAAGTTGGCCCCAAAATTCGTGGGGCCCTTGGAAGTCCGGAGGATCATCTCGCCTGTCATCGTCGACCTACGGAACACCCGCGGACGCTGGCACCGACAGATCCACGTACAAGACCTGAAGGCGCACCCGGCCCCACTGCGCTAGGGCAACACCGACTGATCATTCCGGGGGGAGTCACGGTTACCGACCGAGAATGTCCGCACAGGCGAAACACACGGACAACGGCCGAGGGCATCACCGACTTAGCCGCATGCCGAGGCAAGCACGCGAAAACAACATCGCCGCCAACG